TCCTGTGAGCGCTGTGAGGGACAGGCGTCGGGGTGAGGACAGTGTCAGTCCTGTGAGCGCTGTGAGGGACAGGCGTCGGGGTGAGGACAGTGTCACTCCTGTGAGCGCTGTGAGGGACAGGCGTCGGGGTGGGGACGGTGTCACTCCTGTGGGTTGGCGGTGCGGTGCTGAGTGGGTTCCGGTGGCTGTGGACACCACTGGTGAAATGAAAGGGGCAGTTCTGCGGTCACTGATGTTACATTCTGTAGTTCAAGGACAGTAAATGCCAGGCAGCTGTGAGGCGCTGACTTCTGATGTTTCAACAACTTGCCATCCAGACCTTTTTATTCTGTCTTATTTAGTCTGCCTGGACTCTCCGTAGGGCAGGTAGCAGTGGTGGGGTTTATCTTTAAAGGCTGTGGGGGCATTTTGCTTTCCTGCCTGACACAATGCTTGGACTTGAACCAGAGTGCTCTCATCCTGTGAGGGTAAACAGCAGATCGGTTTCAGACTCCTTTACCCCAGGCTGTTCCATAAAGGCCTAGGATTCTCATGCTCTTTTAAATGCTAATGAACTGCTTTGCAAACAGCAGGAGCACTTGCTTGGAAATACAAAGATGCTTGTACTGTGTGCGAAGTGGGTTGAATTGCTAGGAGCAATCTGATAGCGTTACAAGTGGCTTCTTCACTAAGCCTGAAGCTGTACGCCTTCTTTCAGAAACCTGGGATTCTCTCCACAAATTTAATAAGGCAACATAAAACAGATTTGGCCTGCTCCACCATTGTCTTTGTTTTTCTTAGGCAAGTGCTGCAAAAATGAAAAGAAAGCTTTCAGCTGAGGAGGAGTGATAAAGATTTTAGAATGAGGCTAGGACTGGGACTAAATTTGTGCCAAACCAAAACCTGAAACTACTGAGCATTGCTGATAAATACCCTTAATAAGCTCGACATGAAACATCCGCTCCTGCTCTGCCCTGTGAGTGTTTTACTGTGTTTTTCTCTCACCATGCATTTGCAAAGTGTGTTAGTCCTCTTGGGAAATTTCTTGTGTTTTATTAAACATTGCTAAGTGGTTTGCCAACACTTCAGTAGTGTTCTGAAAATATAATTAAATATGTTCACATGTTGCCACAACTGCTTATTAACCTGTTGTTCATTTTCTTTTTGTTGCATTCTTTTCCAAACCTTTGAAGACATCAGATCGTATTACGTTTTAAGACTGGTTTTGAATCCTGTTGCTATGGAAAGCACCACAGCAGCAAAGAAGTGGCAGTGTCTCTTAGCCTTGTTACCTGCGAACATGGAGATGATTGCACCGAAATCAATTGGCAAGGAAATATTGTTTAGCTATTCGCACTTTAGAAATCACTGAGAAAAAATGTCTAGCCTTCCTGTTTTGAGTTCTTCTGCCTTGAGTTCTTTTTTTTCCCTTTAAGCAATCTCATTAGAGTGAGTTTCTCTCTGTAGGAGGCTGAATGACCCATCCATTGTCACTCCTTTCTCCCGCGATGACAGGGGCTACACGCCACTCCACATTGCTGCTATTTGTGGTGAGCGGATTTCTTTGTACTGCGGAACAATAAGTCTGCGCTTGCCTGGGTGTTTGCTTGTGGTTTTCTCCTGCCTCGTGCTCTTCAGTAGTCTGTGAAGAACCTTCTTCCGGGCGACGAAGGTGCTGAGTGCCTGAAACACGCAGTCTCCTCCCAGACCCTGCTAACTCCTTCCCCTTTCTGCCTCCTCAAAGGTCAGACGTTGCTGATCGACGTGCTGGTGTCCAAGGGGGCAGTGGTCAACGCCACAGACTACCACGCCCTCACGCCCCTTCACCTGTCCTGTCAGAAGGGCTACCAGGGCGTGACGGTAAGACAACAACGCCACATGTCTTTATATACAGTATAATGACATACATTCAACACATCAGTAAACAGCATCGCAAACCCTGGCTGCAATGTTGCTCTACTTTATTCCAATATTGGTTTTAAGAATGTTCAGTTTAGAGACCCTTGATGTGTTTGTAACAATAAATTGTACCATTAACAAATTATATTTTCATATCTTCTCTGACATAGTGAAAACGGTAAACGTATTAGAAAATCCTTGCTATTTCAAATAGTATTCACTTACTGCTATCGATTAAGCCTTTGAGGTAAATTCTCGAGATTTTCATCCTTGCTAATTTGTTCTTCCTGCCTTCAGAAGGCCGTAGCTGCATTCAGAATCTAAATGAGATCTAGAAATGGTGGCTGCAGCTCCTTTTAAATGCTCTCTCTTTGGATTACAATGGGCACTCAACCCAGAAAACAGAGAGAGTATGGGAGGTGAGGTCACACGTTCATAATCATTGCTGATATAGTGTCGGTCAGTTATGACCATGGGGTCTTTTTCTCCTACTTTCAGAAAGTGAAGCATCAGTTTCCAGCCTGCACATTTTATTTAACTGTCCTGACTTGTGTTCTGGTGTTGATAAGCAGAGTCTGTGTCTCTCTTCTTCCCCAGTTGCTGCTCCTGCACTACAAAGCCAGGACTTCCGTACAGGACAACAACGGGAACACCCCCCTCCATCTGGCCTGCATGTATGGACACGAAGACGTAAGGCCCTGCCAGCCCCCCCTTTGAGCTCTCCGTGTTTGCACTTAGCTTCTGGTTTGCACTGGGTTAACCATCGCCAGCCTCAAACCCTTCGAAGGCACCCAAGGCTCTTGGGTCCTGGGTTCGATTCCTGGCATTCATGTGTTATGAAGGACAAGCGTCCCACCCAGGGTGTATCCTGCCCTGAGCCCAGTGCCTGCTGGGTTAGTCTCCAGCTCACCGCAGCCTTGTATTGGAATAAGCAGTTATCGAACTTTAACGGGGACCATCTCGCAAGAAGCACTTCAGAAAGCAATGTGGGATTGTGGTGATAGTGTTCATGTGGGTGTGTTCTTCGCTAGCTCTGATTTGCCCTCTGTACTCAATTACAACCTCATTCAGTAACGTGCTGGAAGAAAATCTGTCTGTGGCTCTGTGCTGAACTTGTGATCATGCCCTCTCGCTAACAGACACAGATGCTCCAGAAAAGCCTTTGCCCTTTCAACAACGCTGTGCGTTTCTGATATCCCTAATGCACACGCCTCTTTCGTTTCATATCCCTGCCTGCCCGTTAAAACGCCGGTGCCCTGCGGTCCAGTGTGTGAAGGCGCTCGTGTACTACGACGTCCTCTCCTGCCAGCTGGACATCCAGAACGACAAGGGGGACACCCCCTTGCACATCGCTGCGCGCTGGGGCTACGAGGGCATCATCGAGGTGCTGCTGGAGAACGGCGCCAGCACCTCCCTGGAGAACAGAGCCAAGGAGACCCCTTTCCAGTGTGCACTCAACACGCGGGTACGCTGGCCAGCTCGTGCGTCAACACTGTCCCCCGCAGCCCCTCAGATTAAAGATAACTGCTAACACTTATATAGCACTTTTCTGGACACTGCACTCAAAGCGCTTTACAGGTAATGGGGATCCCCTCCTCCACCACCAGTGTACAGCCCCACCTGGATGATACTCCAGTCCGCTCCCCACACACCAGCTCTCAGGGGGGAGGAGAGCAGAGTGATGAAGCCAGTTCAGAGACGGGGATCGTTAGGAGGCCATGACTGCTAAAGGCCAGGGGGAAATGTGGCCAGGACCCCCGTAAACACCCCTACTCTTCTGCAGTAGCAGTAGCTCATAAATCCTCAGATTCCTGTGCTGTGGTCGTCTGATTTCCACCTCTTCTCTCACGCCCCCTGCCTCTCTCCTCCAGCAGGAGTCAGGTGACTGTGTCATGATTTTATACGAGCATTTTAAGAGGGCAAATGCCACAAGACTCAGGTTCCTGTAAGGACAGCTGTGTCACTGATGTCGATGTCAGTGCATAGATGGTTTGCTGTCCTTTGAGGTACCTATTCCTTCTTTCTTTCTCTCTTCTTTCTTTTTTGAAAAACAGCGATAAGAGGAAAATGAAGGAAGGGATCTGATATCCCTTTGTACATCATTGCTCTGGCAAATGTTATTCTTAAATGCCCTTTTTTCCTCTAAGTCAAGGTGTCTCTAAAAAAATCTGACTTTTATGTTTTGTCGTGTTGCAGATCTTGTCCCTCCTGGAGCTGACAAACAATGGGTTTGAGGGGAGGCAGAGTGCTGGTGAGGTAGGACTGTTCCCCGATTTCATTCCTTCACTGTGATGTCTTGAGGCCCAGTACAAGGGATTTGACCGTTGATAATTCTCCAGTTTGTTTCTGCACAGACCTTTTCACTGAAACACACAGCAGTCTCACACAGTAGAGTGGGACTGTTGTTACCAAACTCTCAGGCTCTAGATGTGTTGGCTCATCTTCTCAAGCAGTTTGTATACTTTGTGGCATTTCTGCATTTTTAAGTGAGAGCACTCATAAGTTACTAGCAGTAGCTGTATTATCAACAGGCTCTCAGAAGCAATGTTAAACTATTTTCCTGTGCCAATTCTGGACATTAAAACTTGCAGGACACTTTTCACTTAGAAGACATGTCTTGTGGGACAGCATATAGTAATGTACTGTACCTACTGGGGCTCACGGTTCAAGTTCCAGATGCTGTGACAGCTGTAATATCCTCATGGAAGAGACACGAGGAGCTTTGCTGGGTAGTAAACCTCAAATGAACTAGCGCCCCCTCCAGGGCCAGTTTTGTATTGTCCTGTTGCACCAGAGAGCAGGGTCGAGGCGCAGTTGGCACAGGTGTGGCTGTGGGGCGCTGTGTCACTGTAAGGCTGTCCTGTTCTCCCCACAGTCTCCCCGGAGGTCCCCCCAGCCCTCCGCAGAGCCCGCCAGCCGCCACTCCTCGATCTCCAGCACCTCCTCCCTCAGCACGGACATCAAGCCCGACGGCGACAGGGGGGCGCTCAAAGAGGTGAGCCGGCCTCCGCCCTCGCAGCGCCCGTGCTGACCCAAGGTGGTGGTCAGTCTTTAACCGCTTTGCTGCTTAAATCGCCCTCTGTGCTGGGAAAAGTTCCTTTGAAAAATGAATCCATTACCTGCAGCCATTTTTCAAACAGCTTCATCAATCAGTTGTGGGGAGCCGGAGTCACACCCTGGACAGGACACCGGTCCATCTCACTCCAGGGACAATTTGTCTAGAAGCCCGTTAACCTACCAATATGTGTTTGAACTGTGGGAGGAAAGTAGAGCACCCAGAGGAAATCTACACGAACATGGGGAGAACATGCAGGCTCCACAGAGACGCCTCCCTGGTCTGGAATTGAAGCCGACCACTGCACCAGCCCTGGGAACTTATGCAGTACTAAATAGCAATATAGAAAATATCTTGTGGTCTCCGGAGTCCGAGCGGGAGCTCGGGGGAGGCTGGCGGCTGGTCGGAAGTGGAGTCCGCTGCCCCTTTTCCTGGCCCTGTGCGTGCTGAAGGAGGTCTGGCCTCCGGACCACGCTGGGAGCACAAACACGTAGAGCAGTTCAAATATCAATGAAACATCTGCTGGGTATGAGGGCCCTGCTTGGTGTTTACACACGAAGCGGCGGCCTGCGAGACCTTCTCTGCGCCGCGGGACCAGCTGGCCGGGGGTCTCGCCTTCCGGCCCCTCAGGAATCGGGGAGCAGCATCTTGCCAGGCCGATCAGGGCCTCGGGATCAGCACAGTAACGGAAGCCGTCATGCCTTGTCTTTTCTCCTCCTTAGGTGGAGAAGCTGCTGCGCGCGGTGGCGGATGGCGATGTGGAGATGGTAAGCCTTCGAACGTGTGGGAGCTATGCCTTGTGCTCCGTTTCAGGTCAGTCTGGAACTCTGCTTGTCACTTGGCACAGAGGTCGCGTGACTACCATTTGGTGTTGCGCAAACACTGTTAAGTGGTGCCCTAAAGTTTTTGAAAGCATAACAGATGTAGCCAGCAGCCATATCACCCTGCAGCTCAGCAGGTGTGAGCCTGGTCAGTACCTGGATGGGAGACTCCTGGGAGAGCTAGGGTTTCTGCTAGAAGAGGTGTTAGTGGCCCAGTAAGTGCCATGAAGTTTCTTGAAACTGTCTGCTCATACACTGCCCACCAAAACATGCCGCGTCACAATGCCAGACGTCTATCGGTTGTGTGTGATTGGAGAAGTAGTGCAAGACTGGAATGTTGCGGCGATCGCTGCCCCTTGCTCTGGAAGAGATCAGTCATCAGTCTGAGCCCTGCCAAAAGCTGCTTATGAGAGACGCAAGGCAGGCCCTCCCCTCCACAGTTCCCTGCAGAGATCCAGAGCTGCACCGCCTGCAGAGCAGTGCAGGGCGCCATTTACATCACTGGTGCCTATCCCGGCCAAATTTAAAATAAGCCTCTTCTGCTGTGTTATGAGCTTTCCAGGCTAAACTAAGATAATCTTAATGGAGCCAGGGCATCTGGTTTCACCAGGCTTAGACCTAATCCCATCACCCCTGAGCCACTGTGAGAGATGGGAAGTGGGAAAATGCCTCACAGCCTCCACTTGCAGGCCGTGTCCATGTGGGCCTGGCAGATGCCCACAGTCACGTTGTTCTGAGACTAGTCTCTCTCGTCTCCCTACACATTTCACAGCTGTTTTATTCACATTCCCCAAATGTGGTAAGTGCTAAGCTTGCCTAATGCTGCCTAAAGTTGATGTGGCTGTGAAGGGCAGGGAGTTAGAACACAAGACTCTTCTTCGATCGCTGGTGCTTTATTGAACAAAGGATCCAGGGATAAGCGATAAGCAATAGGTGCTTTCAGATCGGAGGGTTTCATAAGAGGAAGTTCTGCTGGCGATTTGAACGAGCTGGGAGGGAGTGTGGGCATGCTGCAGCAGGAAGGTGGCGCTCCTCACACCACAGAGGACTCCTGCTCTCCCCGCTAACTCTGAGAGGAAGGGAGAGCAACACGGGGAAACAAATATAACAAGCCTTTTGTTTACTCTGGAGTTAAAGATGTCATTTTGTAAACCACTTCATCCATGATGTCTGAACTGTATTTTACTCGGAGTGAACATTCCACAGACATAGTTCATTGCAAGTAACTCCGAGGAAGCCATTGGGGTTTCTGTGTATGTAGGCAGATCTGGGACACATTCTTCCTGGTCGTGGGGGATTGTGGAGCTGCACACGAGGACGAGTTACCCCTCTGTCACTGGCTTCAAACCAACGCCAGGAGAGGAGGAGTGGGGCTGTCGGAGGAGGGCTTCTCTGACCTTTCCTCATGCCATTACCCGTCTACAAAGCCGGCGTCGCTGCCTTCAGGAGATCTCGGAAAATCCCCCTTAATGGGCTTGAGCTTGGATTTGGAGAGGGAGGGAGAAGCGAGCCGAGATTAGGCAGCGGGAAGTCATTTATAATTTACAGCATTGTCATTCACTGTCCTGGCTCCACTGGGCTTCCAACAGCAGGCTCCCAGCTCTAATTAGGCTGCGGCGGGTGGCACAGGCGGCCGGAGGGGCCGCTGTCACGCAGCTCCGCCAGCGATGCCCAGCTCGGGCCCCTCTGCTGCGGACCAGGCCCCCGCCTTCCGAGATACACCCCACCTAGACTCTTGGATGTTGTCTTAAACTCTCACTCCATAGCCGTTTGAGCCATGCCGTGTTTTGCAAGTTACAGGCTTATACCCCCCAGGCAGCACTGGGCTTGTAACCTTCTTGGAAGAGAATCTGCAAAGCCAGTCGTGGGTAAAATGCATGCAGTCCTGCTTCATAAGTAAGCTGAGTAAATTAGCTGAGGCTTGTAGAACCTGCAGTGCAGTGGGAGTAACCCTTTCCCCCATCGTTTGTTTTTCTTGCGGGGTGCTGTCGTTGTCGTTGTTGTGTACAGTAGGGATGGGATGGGGCGCTCTTCCAGCTTGGCCCGGGCCTCGCTCAGGCGTGCGCTGTCCCGTAGGTGCGATACCTGCTGGAATGGCTGGATGAGGAGCCCGATGACGAGGAGGAAGGGCCGAGACCGCTGCTGGAGTCCGACTTCTGCCACCCGCTCTGCCAGTGCGCCAAGTGTGCGCCCACACAGAAGGTCAGTGCTGTACAGGCCTGAGCTCAGCTGCTGACCCGTGGTGTGTGCCAAGTGCGTGCAGGCAGACTTCCTCATTTATCTCCCCTTCTGCAAGTGTGCTTTACCTTCAATACATGGACACAAGTCCAAAGCCCAAGCGCTGTGCTGTCATTAAATGTTTGATGGTATAAGAAATATTGACAATTTACGGTATGAACACATGTTGAAATGGTGTATATCTGACAGTCCAATATTGTTCCTGTGTGTAGTCTGTACATGAGAAGAACATGCAAACTCTACACTGACAGACCTAAGGAGCTCTGTGGCTGAGATATACAGTACAGTAGAAAACACAGGTGTACTACAGCCTCCAGCAACGGCTTTTGTGGCATCTGTTGAATCTGCCTCCCCTTTACACAGTACCAGGCACAAAAGGGAGGAGTTACAATCACATGAATATTCAGCAGCCAGATCTGAAGATCATGCAGTGCCTATCTCAGGCATCCCAGGCCGGTGCGTGCGTGCTCTGACCAGGCGTCTCCTCTCGTGTGCACAGAAGCTGTCCTGCCTGCAGGCGAGCGGGCTGGGCGTGAACAGCGGTAACCAGGACGGCTTTACTCCGCTGCACGTGGCCGCCCTGCACGGGCACGCCCCCCTGGTGTCCCTGCTCACGCGCCGCGGCGCCAACATCAACGCCAGGAACGGGCAGAGTGCCACCCCGTTGCACCTCGCCTGCCAGAACAGCCACCTACAGGTGCCCATGCCCGTGCCCGTCTCTCGCACTGCCCTGGGGGAGCAGGGCGCGCTGACGCTCCTTCACTGCATCCCGAGAGGCTGGAGAGAAGCTCGGCGGCCCAGCTAGCGCTAACAGTTTGCTGTTCAGATTTCTCATTTCTGGGGTGATAACTATAGTTTAATAAACCTTTGCGCTGCGTTTGGACAGTCTGATCTCACGGTCAGTCATGAGAGAGTGTAGTTAGTGGCATTAAACTTAAAAAACGAGATTTAAACATGTTTCTCACACTGTCGTGATGTGGTCTGAAGGGGTAGTGCTCGGAGCTACACTGAAGGTTTTTTTCTGAATCGTCTGCGTAGTGCTGTACAGTGACTCAGGTTGCGTCCGTGACAGGTGGTGACAGTTCTGCTCGAGTGCAATGCCAAAGCGAACAAGAAAGACCATTTTGGAAATACCCCACTGATCCACGCCTGCCTGCGAGGACACCTGGACACGGCCACAACCTTACTGCAGGTGCTTAACCCCTGAACTGGCGGTTTCATCACTGACAGTGTACTCCTGGGGGAAAAGGGACGTGCGTGTATGTGTATCTGTCAGTCCTACATTTATATACTGTTTCCATCCATTTTCTGACCGCTTCTTCCAGTCCAGAGTCACTGGAGAGCTGGAGCAAGCAGTGGGTGGGAGGCAGGATACACCCTGGACAGGACACCAGTCCATCAGATGACTGACACACACTTACACACCAGTGCCAGTTTTTCCAGAAGCCAATAAAACCCACCAACATGTCTTTAGAGTAGACTGTGGGAGGGAACTGGAGCACCTGGAGGAAACCAACACAAACACACTATTATCACCCCAGGAACTGAGAGACAGTAATGATAACCACTGCACCACCGTGCCATCCACATGTATATGTACATGTACATAGAAACATAAACACGTACAGCGGTTATGAAAGGAACAAAACATTTTAAAAAATGAGAATGAAAAATAGTCCTGATAATGTAAAAGTTATTTTAAAAGTGGCACGTCTCTGCAGCTGTACCATGAGAGATTGGAGCCCCAGTCTGACTGCTCTGTGCCCTGCAGAGTGGGGCCTCCGTGAACCTGGCCAATAACCAAGGCAACACAGCCCTGCACGAAGCAGTGAGAGGGGGACACCAGGCCCTGGTGGAGCTGCTGCTCCAGTATGGGGCGTCCGTCCATCTGAGGAACAAGCGTCAGAGGACGCCCCTCGACTGTACCCTGGATGCGGGGGGCAAGGTAGGTACCCCAGGAGCTCACTCTCCGTTTCTCTCAGCGGTCTGGAAATCATTCGGCATTAGTAAAAATGTGTCTTCTCTGATTCAGGTTCCTTCCTGTGAAAAGCAAGCCTATATCTCCCATAGCCCAGTGAACCATGGGAAGCATAGTCTTCCTGTGTAGATCTGTCTGTAACTCAGGGAATACTCTTTCTGAAACTGTACGGCGAATTTTCTTTCTGCAAATGAACAACAGGCTGAAATGTCTTGTCCTGGAGAATTCTTTAGGGATCCAGTGCCTAATACCCAGTTCGTCTGCCTCTCTTGCTCACAGGCCACCTTCTTAGTCTCCATGCTTAGCAGGAGAGCAGTGCAGGTAAACCCCAGCTCAACACGCAGTGATCTCAAGTGTTAGTGCATGTTAGAATCTTCTCTTGCCACTCTCTGAACTGTTTGGGTTGTTAACAATACTGTCACGCTTATTTATGATTCTGAGTGCAGTGTTGAGTTGCAGGAGGATGTTGAGATGCAGGGCTCTGTAAGTGCAGTGATTGCGTTTGCCATTAATCAGAAGAAGAGATGTGTTTTCAAGACTGTAGTGCTCGCTGTCTGTTTCATTTCCAATTAGCAAAGCAACGTGCACAAATTGTTACTTTGGTGTTTACTCTTGATTTTCATTTATGCTGTGGTGCTAAATTGGAGACAATCAAGTAGCTTTGAAATGAATGTTGTTAGAGTATTAACTTTTCCATTTGTAGGATTCACCTTTTTGATCTCGCAACCTTTGCCCTGAAGATCCACAATTTTTCTGGAACAACCATTCTCCGTTTTTTTAATGAGCCTGTCGGATCAGAACTGCATTCCTTGCCCCGTGTTCGAGCCTCACTGAAACTCTTTGTGATTATTGCCGATATCTTTTGGGTTTCCTGCAAAACAAGTCTTGCAGTAAGATATGTCATCTCCGCTTTAGTCCCACACTGGTGACCTGTAACCATTGCCACCAAATGATCAAATTTATGATGCAGTTTTAAATGTAGTCCTGAGAGAAAGCTTTATCGTTGTGTAATTGCACAATAATCATTTTTCCCTTATGAAATTATTATATAGAAAAAAGCAGTGTTCCATTTTAAGGTGATTAAATGATCATTATGTAAAATTGCATTCCAGGCCGTTTGGGAATTGCTTTTTCATACCCATTTCACTGACTGCTTAGAAGCCACCTGTGTCCTTGTTTTAATTAAGAATGTCACCAGGGAAAAGCGAATTGCAAACCTTTCCACTCAGCCCTTACTCGTCTTTCTGGATTGCTGCAGACGTTTTTCCAGCGGACACTTTAAATCAGACGCGAGTCTGCCCGGGGTCTATCTGCAGGCTGGATGCAGCAGGAGCACCTGTGAGGGCAGATACAGTACTTCAGAAGCACCGTTAGTCTCAGCAGGCTGAGAGGGGAGAGAAGACAAGGCCCCACACCTCCGCCAGGCCCCTCTTTTTGTCTTTTCTGTCCTTTCCGTCATCTCCTCTCCTTCTTCCTATCATCTGTGGGCTCAGGCTTGCTATCCTAAACTCTGAGGAAGTGCCGTAGCACTTTAAAACTCTCAAGTGTCTTTGTCGCAGAACTCCGAGATTGCGAAGATCCTTCAGAAAGCGTCTGGTCATTCCCCAGAAGAGACTGCTGCAACCCTGCCAGTCCTTCCCAGAGCCCACCTGGGCAAGAGTGAGTGAACTGTGGTCTTTTTTTCTAAGGCAACTCTTGCACCCTCTCTGCAGAGCTCGGTCTGGTCCAGGGGGCATCAGCTGCCCGTGCTGAGCTGCACTGTCCCCTGGAGGCCAGTGGCCACTGCAGGGAAACCCAGCTCTGTTGCCCCTGTGTCTCACACTCTCTTGTGTCGCAGCAGCATCGTTAGTGAAGCAGCTCAGAGCCCTGGACGAGCCCCATCGCGGAGAGCTGGAGGTGGTTCAGTCGCTGCACAGGTACTTGTGAGTGGGGGGGCAGGGAGGGGCGGTGTGGGCACAGGCACTGGGTGGGTAGTACCTGGCTGGAGAGGGATATGAGAAGTAAAAATCCACATCTAGCAAAAATTATATTTTTATCGTTTTTAAGGGAAGGATTTTTTTTTCTCAAGCTCGCTAGTGTTGTTAAAAAGAACTCACCTGCAGAGGATACAAATCTAGAGAGAATGGAAACGTGATAGCACCAACATACACAACATTACGTCAGAGCTCAAGAGTTTCTCCAGGGCTGCTTTTTGTTTCCTTTTCTCAAATGGCTTGGATTTAAAAGTTTTAAAGGGTTCAATAATCTGTTTACATCCGTCCATTACATCCGCACAGTCACAATACATTTTCTCCCCATACTGAAGGTTCTGTGAGGCTCTTGAGTGCCCCCCTGTGGTGCTGACAGACAACACAGCACTGCGACACACCAGTCAAGTTCTTTTGATGCAGGATTTAATGTATCCCTGTGAAGGTCAGGACGAAGACAGACCAGCTTCATATAAAAACACACTCTCAAAAAAAAAAAAGCATCATTTTTTCACTTGTCTGCTTACCCAGAGGATGTACATTTAAAGGCACGTTGAACACCAGAAAGTACTCTTGTTATTGGATTATTTTAGAACGGCTTTCAATTTCATGATTGGTTTCAAGATTTAACTTTGGAACAATTCAGACTCCGATTAATCCCTGTAAAGCATGTCCTGAAAAATGCTCATTGAACCTTAATATGAGCTGTGCATCAGTGATAGGAGAGCACTGTTTTAGATGATGACCTCCAGCAGTACGGTCGTGTCTTGACAGGAACCCTACAGCACAGCGTAAGATGCCTCTATCTCTAAATGTTTGATTGAATAAATACAGGAATTCACTTAAGTGATTTTAGACGAGGCTGTTGATAATGAATGTAATGATCCTTGGTTATAAAACAATCTCGGAACAATCACAGAATGGGTTTACACCTTTGTTTACATAATGAACCAAGTATGAAAGAGATTTGCTTATTTAAGGATTTTAATTATTTGCTGAACTGGGACATGGATTATTGTAGACTTCAATTTTACAATTGAAGAGGCACCCCTGATTTCTGATTCCACACCTTTCAGACATTAAACAGAAGAAGAAGATGGTAGTTTCTGTCTCTAGGCTGTTTAAGGGCTGGAGCAGCAAGCTGAGTGTGAACAGCGAACTGTCCAGTCCTGGTCCTGGTGACCTCCGTGCCACAGCTCTTCATGGCTTTACTGAGGAGGAAATTGGAGTCTTCAGAGATAATTACAGGCACTGGGGTCCTCCTTTCATCTTGAGGTGCTTCACGTGTAGCTGGGGACCCACTCCATCCACCCCTGGGGGTCATCATGCCTTTTCACGATGGGATGCCAAGTCGCTGATGAGGTATTTTGTTTCAGACACCTGCAGTGGCGGAAGTCCGTGCCTCGGGACACGAGTGTGCCATCGTTTGACTCCAGCCAGTGTCAGGTACTGTGGGTAAACTTCTGCTGAACAGAGCTGGAGCGCGGAAATTGTTCTGCTGTCTGGTGCCCGTGCACTTTCCTTTCAGTCCTTTTAAAATCCACATTCAACACTTCCCAATCGGCGTAGTCCAGAATTACACCTGGGGGAACTTGACGGGGTTTTTAAATCTGTACAATCATCCGTTCTCTTACCACTTTAACCAGTACAGTGTCGTGGGGGAGCAGGAGCTTATCCAGACAAGCAGCGGGCTCGAGGCAGGGTACACCGTGGACGGGACGCCAGTCCATTGCAGAGCACAGACGGACACAAACACTCACACCAGGGCCAGGTTTCCCAGAAGCCTCTTGTGTTTTTGGACTGTGGGAGGAAACCGGAGCGCCGGTAGGAATCCCAGTGAGCACGGGGAGAGAACACAGTCTCCAGACAGACAGCACCCAAGAACTAAACACAGGGCCCAGTGTTTCGGGGAAGTAATGCTCACCACTGTGTCACCTGTCTCCAGCAAAATCAAAGCAAAGCAGTTTTTGACCGTAAATGTTTTTAATTGAACAAAGGCGGTAGTGCAAGTTCTCTTTAGATGAACTTTAGATTAGATATGTATATTGTATAAAACGTGCAGTGTATATTTCGGAGCGGATATGTGTGCTGGTGCTGTGAGCGCCGTGCGAACGGCCCGGCGGACTCGGCTGTGTGTGCGCGCTCAGCAGGCTGCCCTGCCTTGCAGGTGCCGGTCCAGAGGGCCGAGAGAGGCCGGCTGAAGCGTGCGGAGACCCTTTGCCCGAGTGGCTCCCTGACGCCCCCCCCTGACCAGGCGGACCGTTCCCCGACGGCGCCGGAAGGCACTCGCGCCAAGAGCCTGGGTCGGCGACACACGGTCGACCTGGACCACGACCGCGGCGCAGAGCGACCGCGGCCCGGCCCGCACGCTGACCTCTGCGACTCGGCCTTTGAGGTGAACGGCGCCGCCGCAGCGGAGGGCGGGCAGGGAGCCCCCCCACAGCCCAGCGCCAGGCCCGGGAGTCAGCCGGCTAGAGCTGAGCCCCGAGAAATGGAGGAGCTGTCCTCAAAAGCACTGTAAACCTGCCCCGCGCGGGCCGAGAGGCTGCGATTCGCTCGCTGGCCACTGCCGGTGGGAGGTCTCCAGGGCTCCAGCCCTGCGGCGAGGGCGGCGAGGGCAGCGAGTGCGAGTTCACCTGAAGAGTCCGGCTGCTGAGTTTTTCAGGACTGTTTGCAAAAAGAGAGGGACCCGCAAAAGACCTCTTGGGGAGACGCCGACACACTTTAGCCAAGTTGTGGCAATAGCTGTTTTACTGACTTCTTTTAAAAGAGAAATCATCTAATTTGATCCTCTCGATCCTCCATATAAAGGGAAGTGCACATCTGACAGACTCAAACCTGTTTGGTTGCTGTTTAGAATTATTTTCCACACTGTAGGAGCACCTGAGGGCCTGATGTCTGTGGTAGCTTAGGTGCACTGATCCTTTTCAGATACAAAGGCCAGAGTCTAGAGTCCTGATGGACTGACAGGAGTAATTACTGGTCCCTCCAACATCAGCTTTGGAATTGTAGACGAGGTGGGTTTTGATGAGGGTTTGCAGTACCTATAGGCTCTGAAAAGACCGGACAACAAGGAATGATGTAACAAATCTGATCATCTTGGTTACTGTGTAAAGCAAATTATTATTTTACTATTTTTGTAAACTATTTTGTTTCCTTGAATGTCTAATAGTTCAGAACAGTTGTCATTCTAATTTTGTGGTTCCGTGTTTCACGAATTGTTGGGTATTTTTTAAGGTTTTGGAGAAGATGCAATAATAGGGCGAGGTGACGCTTTCTTTCGGTGTTTATGTGACGCCAAAGGAATTGCAAGCCAGGCGGGTGCTGCGAGTAACTGGCCTTGTGTTGGCGCACCCTAGGGAGATGGGGGTGTGACGCTCGTAAACCAAGATCCGTTTCTTCCTGTCCAGCTCGACCCGTGTCTAGATCCAGCTCACACACCAGACAGGTAGCCCTGTCCAGTTCCCCAGCTGGCTCGGGCTAGGAGTGGTGCAGACAGGACATTAGAGCAGCACACCTTCTCTGAACGACCCCTTTTCTGTTCATCTCGCCGCTCAAGACCTGCACAGCAAAGCCCTCTTTCAAACAGGGTTTTACCACCACGTTTGTGTGCAGAGATGGATTGGTCTAAAATTAGGTTTCACAGTGTGTGATGTAGAATTTTATCATGACTACCACTTCTTCAGCGGACCTCATTTTTAACAAGGGCAGCACAAGAAAGACCTGGGTGGTTTTGTTCATTTCAGCTGTTGTTAAAAAAGGAAGGAGCTATAGTTTTGATTTCACACGAGCAGTTTTATTACAAGGTGGTTCACGAATATAGTTTTGATCACCATGTTCTTGTGGTGTAACTGAAGGTATCCTTTCCAAATCTAAATCAGGATGGAGTTATTTTTCTACAGTGTACTTTTGTTGTTGCTGTGTTTTGCTTTTGCAAACCTAATTTCCTAACGTGGTGAACGTGCCTTATTTAATTTGTGCCAAAATGTAACACACACAATAAAGTGATGAAGGAGTGTAACTGTAATCAGATACTGTACATTCCAGTTTCTTCATACTTGAACTGAACTCACAAGCATTTTAGTGGTTCACAGGTTGGCTTTCACATTATGACTGATTATCATCAGTCTCATAGATGGTCTTTACCCCTTTGACCTGCAGAAGGCTGTGAGTGTTAGTCTCGTCAGCCGGGAAACGGTAAGTGCTTTCTTGCACATTCTTTGTGCTGTGCTTCATTCTTGTCCCGATAGAAATCGATTAAATGTGTTTAACTTTTGAAAAGATTGATTGGTAAATGCTGTGTGCACATTAATGCCATGTAAATGAGTAAAAAAGGTGAACCTGACTGGAAAGGCCATTATCTGCTCTCTGGTGTGGTGCTGGATCACCTGAGTCCACACTGCCTGTATGGTAATCCTCCACATCAATGAGCCATCAAGGTTGTTAGTGCACAGCTGCTATACCAGGGCCAGACTTCCAGAGGGCCTGGTGTCTTCCTGTTCATTTCCCACCTGATTTGTCAATGAATCAGTTAACCCTAATTATCTTCTTACTTCCTAGACAACTATGGGAGGGTCCTTGTGGTCTTTTACTGTTGAAAAATCAATACATTCGCTTCACTCTGAAAGTGACCCCCCCAGGGTTTAAAGTATTACAGTTAAAGCAATTAATTAGAGCCACTATGTAGCTGAGAGGTCAGGTGTAACCAACCGCCAGCAGACACTTGGCTATCCAGGAGCTGTGCTTGACACGTCTGCTCTGTGTCCTACAGCACTTACCTAACAGACGCACTGTGCCTTTGTCTCTTTACTGGGGCCCAAGTAAGGACTGTGACAAGTAAGGCAAGCAGAAGATCAAAACTGGAAAGAAAGTGGCTACAATTCCATCATCCATCAAAGCATTTGTTATTTAAATATATTGCTCTATAAGCAATTAACTGGCATCTGTTACAACACCTCTACAGCCTGCTAATTACTCATTGTTAATTCAATGCACGATTACAGCTCCATTCGGTGAAATAGTAGTGGATGGTCAGTTGGATGAGGTGGTTATTTTTCAAACATTGAAAAGGGCAGGGTGTTGTAATTAACGGGAAATGTCAGGGAATGCAGAGAGGTGTGACTGATATACACAAGCTGCCCTCAAATAATTTGCCCTGTGTGCAATACTTGTTCAGCGGGCCAGGCTCATTAACCTATGTCAGTAGACTTGGAATGGGTCAGCCCCAGAGCTGAAGGACTGAGTTAACCACGAGTTAAACAATCCTCTGCATTGGGAAGCACATTAGGAGCAGGACCCTTAATTAACCTTTCATCCTCTCCCCCCAAGATCAAGAACAACCTCACACCCTAAAGTAACAAACTTACTGTAATTATACAGGTCTCTTATGTAGATGTGCTGAACGCAGAAAGAAATTGAACACACTATGCATGTATGTTTTAAGATCTGTCTAAAAGGCTGGATGTGGAGTAACTGGTTTTGAGGGTATTTAGATTAACAGAATATACATGACTCTCTGCAATGCACTCAAGGTGATGGTTTTGCATAAGCACTACAGGTGAAAGGACCCACCATCTGGTAAAGCCAAGCTTGTGAACCGGCCATTGCCTTCATAGCAATGGCCTCTGGGACCAGCAGCTCTGCAGGACTTGCCATCAGGGGCAAGAAGTGCTCTGTATGAGTGAAGCGCCCTTTTCTGCAGACCACCCTGATGAACATCACGGGCACAGATAGGTATAGTATCGTAATTGTAAAGAACTATATAGAACATATATTATTCCATTTTATTCAATTCGGTGGCGGGGGAGCCAGAGCCTATCCTAGCAACAAACTGGCCTAAGGCAGGGAAGACCTGGGCAGGATGCCAGTCCATTGCAGAGCACACACCCACCAGGGCCAATTGTCCCAGAAGTCAATACCAGTGTGTCCTTGGACTGTAGAAGGAAACAGGCCTCAAGAGGACACCCATGTGAATGGGGGGAGAACACATGAACTCCACACAGACAGCACCCCAGGTCTGGAATTGAACCCAGGTCGCCAGTGCTACAAGGCAGCAATGTAAACCACTGCACAGCTTTCTATAATACTTAATATAATTAATTTCAATATTGTGGCACAGAAGAATACATTAACTGTTCTCTATTGCTAACCAGTTGATGGGGCGGTTGAAGTATAACGTTCAGGAGCATCTCAATGTTACCATGAGGGCAATCTGAATCTGTACCGAGAGAATTCGTAGCCGATCCTGTTGGAGACCAATGTGAATTACACATTGAGCATAATACATTTACCTGCGTCACGGCTGTGCAATAAAATGTAATTGCGCCACCGGGAAAAATGAAACCGGCTTTGTTCTTATGTTTAAATCTAATGTTTCTTTAGATGGTCAGTATATAATATAGATTCACATAACTTCTGACAATACAATAACTTGATCTTCTATCAGCCATAAATCCACGCAGCTCGAGAGCTCGGCGAGCAGTTGAGTGGAAGAGCACCGCCCGTGAACCAGCTCCCACGTGCTTTTCTGAGACAGTAGCAGGAGGGGAAAGCCATCGGGAGATGACATAAGGGGGAAAGAGGCAGGGGCTGGTCCCAGGCGGCAGTGTGGGTGGGAGGAGGGAAGACCAAGGAGGGGACTGTGGGCACAGATTTCTGCCGGAGAGGATAAAGCAAAGGGGAGCTGCCATTGTCAATGCCTTGCAAGTTTAAGATGTTTTCATCACTTTGCCTTTCTAGCACAACATGCATGGATCTGACATCCTTACCCTGCTGTCTGAACCTCTTCATGCCTACTCCTGTGTCCACCTCCTGTTCTTAAACAAGTTGAAGTGGCTGCAATGGAGCAGCACCTTCCACACACTTTGAACAATGTATTAGTTTCAACTAGCAATAATCACGCCTTGGCTAAACCTCATATTCAAGTTAGTAATAATCGTACCAGGCAGCTGTAACTGAGGAAAGGCTGTGAGAGAACAGGACTGACAGTAGCAGTGAAATACTTTATTAGGGGACTTAATAGAATCTAAAAATCCAAGTCATTTTTCCCCCATCTGTATGCTAGCCAGTTTATCTGAGATCAACTATTGATAGACGCAATGCTTTTCTTAACAAAAATATTTTTTAAGGTGTGTTACTTACATATATATATATATGCATACCCCACTCATCTTGGTATAGCAGGGGTAAGGACAAATCAATGTACATTTCCATTCAATATTAAGATGCAATGGCAGCATTTGTCTATAGAGGTTTACTTCAGTGCTGTTCTAACATAACCAAAAAAAAACAACTGATTGGCCACACTCTAAAACCAAAATATGTATAGTTTTTTTACAGTATGTCTCCAAAACAATGCATTTTTAAATTAAAACTATGGGATGCAGGCAGCATGGTGGCACAGTGGTTAACACTGCTGCCTCACAGAGCTGGGCCCTGGGTTCAATTCCAGACCTGGGGTGCTGTTTGTAAATTCTTCCCAGTTGTGAGGTTTCCTCTCATAGTCCAAGAACATACTGGTAGGGCAACTTGCTTCTGGGAAAACTGGCCCTCGTGGGTGCCCAGTGATGGACTGGCCTGTCCAGGGTGTATCCTTCACCCACTGCTTGCCTGCTCCCCAACAACCTCTGAACCGGAAGAAGCAGTTAGAAAATGAATGCTCTTGTACTGTTTTAAAATTAATTTGTTGGTGCTTAATTCTAAAAAAAGGACATCAGTTCATTTCCAAAAAGAAAAAGGGTCTGCAGCAATCGAGAGCCCTGTCACACAGGTCAGGACCGCAGCCTGGACAGGCCCCATGTCCACTGCTGCACTCTCTCACACGGGGGCACATTAGAGGTGCCCATGACCCAAGCCCACAAGTCTTGGTAAAAGGGAGAGGAAACTGCTTCCACTTCAGATAACTCATTATCCAATGAATTAGAACATTAAACAAGTACCAGGATTACAATTTAATTTTATTGCTTCCTTAAGCTGTAAAAAGTAATGTGTTGCCATAAATTCTTTCTGCAATACGTTTATTTTAAATGGCCTAGCAGCTGATGAACCTCATAAATGGATAGCAGAAAATAACACATTGGCACAGTTTGAGAGAGATATGGTCATTGCATTTTGGATTGGTAGGTCAGGTTGCCAGCTCTCAAAACTTTAAGGCATTTTATTATGTCAATTGATATATTGCAGGTACAACTTATTTAATAAAGAATATAAAATCAAATGAACAGCTTTGGAGAAAAGATGAATAAGGGCCTATTGTGACTGTATACTCACTCAAATAAATAGTAGTATTGACTCTTTACAGTGTCTATAAAATTTCTGCAGAACAAATAGATCCTGCATTTAATTCACAGCAAATCATTCAACCACTGTGAAGAAAGCAAAAAAAAGTTTAATTGGGAACAAGTTTCCAAATCCCACTCAACAGAGCAGAGTGCCCTCTTCCAGTATGTGCTGTGTTAGCAGGGAACCTGCCTCAGCCTGCAGCCAGAGAGGTGCGTCAGCTAACCGTGTGTCTCCTGGCCTCAGTGCCACTCTTCACTCGTCATCCTCCTCGTCCGAGTCCATCACCCTCCTCCTGTTGAACTGAAAACGAGGAGGAAGCCCATCAACACAAAGCAGTGCTCTCTGCGGAGGTCAAGGCCAAGTCTTGCATTCACCACGGTCAAACTGCACATACATCAGGATCCCACTCCTGACCACGAACAGTTGATTATGCAATTAAGGATCAGCTTAGAAAACAATGAATTGGAAGGCTCGACGTCCTGCAATGGCACAGACCAGACATTCAAAGGCTGACCACCCCTGACCTAGACCGTCAGATTGCAGGTCATTCAAGACCATGTACAAATGGCTGCAAACCTAATCACTGCTACTGTACCAGAAGCGAGAATTTCCCACATGAGCACATAAAGGCCAGCAGTCCTTCAGTCCTTACCTTGACAGTGGTCTTCTTCTCTGTCTGCTGACTGACCTTCTCCAGGATCTCAATCAATCCTGTCTCTGAAATCTGACAACACACATGCAAAAAGTCACAACAGCCACCAACCACGGGGAAAGGGTTAGTGTGGAAACTCAGCCTCCTGTAAAATGGGACTGACACTTGTACAGCATACAAGAAGCTGCATAGTGGCACCTGGCCCTGCGTTCAACTCCAAACCTGGAGAGCGGTCTGTATGGAGTTTGTATGTTCTCCCCAGGTTCGTGTGGGTTTCCTCCCACAGTCCCACGACATGCTGGCAGGCTTCTGGGATACCTGGCCCTGGTGTGAGTGTGTGTGTTTCTGTGCCTATGTGCCCTGTACACTGTGCACCCTGCACCCCTCCCGGACGTCACTTGAGAGCTTCCATGACCACAACGAGGGGGAACGGCTATTTCAACAGGTGCGCTAGATCATCGCAGGTCCAGCAGTGTGAGTGGTTTTGAAGTTGTGGAGATTGTCATCCCCTCTTACCTTTCCCCCGAGCTGTCCGAACCGAGCCATCTGAATGAGGTAATTCTCCACAGCCTTGGCTTTCTCCGGCTTGACCAGGGCCAGGTTACTCACTGCAGGAACAGAGCCGAGACTTTTTTTATGGCTTGACTCCACAGCCTTGACAAGAACCAAGAAGGCTCTTCACATTAAACACCCCGATGCCTTTCATGTGCAGCCTCTACGGCACTGAGCCATGCATACAGACCGTGTAAGTTCCTACATTGCTCCTACTGTGTGGAGACCATTCCCAATCTACGCTCTTGGGTCTTGCTGTCACTTCCTTCCCAGGCCACTCCTCTATTCCCATAGCATCTGCAGATATAACTAGCTTGCCGACAATACAAGAGACTAAATCACTGATATAAATATATAAAAGAACAACAGGCATAAAAAGGATCCGTGCACACCACTGCTTATATCTGTCCAGTCAGACATTAAGCCATCATCTCCAATCACAAATTACTTTAGAATCCTATAGCTTTAAATTTGACCAATCAGGTTTCTCTAGAGATCTCATCAGAGATTTCTTAAAATTTCAAATGATCTCATTAACTATCCATACTGCTTGTTCTAGGAAGTCAGGTAAGTTGAAGGACTTTCTATTCTGGCAATCTCTTCAAACTCTTTGGAATCTTTCTTGTAATTCAGCACCTCCCTAGTAATAGAAGAATAATCGTTCTACAGTTTTCTACAGCTCAAATCAGTTTGGTCAGTACTGTCTACATTTTTATGAATTGGTTTTACATCTGCAATTCTCTGATCTGTAAGTATAGCTGCAATCGTTGGTGAATCTTAGTAAATGGCCTATGAATAACCTGATTTCTATTTTCAATGATGATGGGAAAAACCCCACCTGGTCCCAACAAATTAATAGTTTTCAGATAATAAGGCCCTGTAAACCCTCCGTGACAGTTACTCTAAAATGATTTAATGTCTTTCAGTATTTCCACTATTATTTTCTTGGAGGCAAGATTTTTTCAAGACATTGTAGTAATTTCTAGGAAAAGGCAAATATCCAAAAACAAAGCCAATGAAATCTGGCATTACAAGACAAGAAAAGGTTAAAAAACAAAAAGTTTGCAGGGACATTTTTCATCAGAACAAAGCACTGGCAATGAAAATAAATATCTTAAATCAAACATTACATTTTCATGTAAAATTAACCCTAAAGTTCAAAACCAAATTTGGGTCACTAATCCCACACAGTCACAGTTGGCTAGTGACATGTTTAAGCCTCGAACCCGTGACACCTGGATCAGTGCTCAAACGTACACCAGCACCTTCCTTCTGAAAGGTTTTACCAGTTGAGACATCTGGGAGCCCTACAGTGTTAGTTTACAATAGAAGAAAGGAGCATGATGAAGAAAAGCCAGTACAGCACATTTTCTCTGCCCTATAGTTCAGAAGCAGGTATCAGTGCCGACTGATAATCTCTAACATTCCTGAAAGGCATCAATCAGTCACCACTTTTAAACTGCTGCATTTTCAAATTTATCCATACTTCAGCTCAGCTCCTCAGATGACTCAGCGTGACCTTATGAACAGATTTTATTTCCCAATTTATTTTCTGCCAGCCATAACATTTCCAGTGTCAGAAAGATGAAAAAATATGGTTGCAAAAAATCTCACATTTCTACTTACATCTGGCCCGGGCAGACTGATCCAATACTTGAGCAAGAATGGAGTTTCTCATGTCAGCCTCTCTGTGGGGAAAAAATGAATAAATGAAAGAGTACACTTATTCTGCACTAAATACTATATCATACATCGTTCCTTGAAAGCAAATTAGAAAATGCTCTGTGGACCTGAAAGTAATTGCTTTAAACATAATGTCCTTTTTAAAAAATTAACAGCCAGTGCAAACAAACGCAGTCTGAAAAAAAACCCAAAAGAACGAACCAGCACTCCGACCCAGAGCTCAGTTTTTCCAATGAACTGTTGTAAAAACTTCTGAAAGGTTTTAAAGTGTCTGACCAAGACAGTTGGGACTGTTCTGAAAAAAGTTACATCATATAAAATCTCATGCGGGCCACTCATGCTAACGGATGGATAAGGCAGTACCAGAAACCTGACCAGAACACTGACCACTGTTTCATGACAGAAATAAAAAGAAAAGAATAAACAGGATACCGAAAAGACAGTATACAAGCCCAAGAGGTTCTTTAAATTACTTGAGTTGACAAAGGTTCCATCATTCTAAGTAGTCTAAAAATGTAATCATGCTTATTTTCCTCTTCCTGAATTTAAAAATAAGCACTATGGAAAAAAAAACAGGGATTCTAAACCATCTATACCATTATAATTGCCTTCCCTGTTCAACAACTGAACAACCCTGCTTACTCTACTTTTTTAGGATAGTTAAGAATGCCATCAGCACTTTTCCAATTTCCCACCTTACTCTGCTCCGTATGAAGGGAAGATGGAAGGTTCATGGCGCTTACTCTGGCTCGGAAACAAATAGAATAGACACAGTTCTGACATTTTCAACACCGATCGCTAGCCACACTGAATCCCCATCACTTCCCTGTACCAGGAGCTTGAGATGCAAAGTACTAGAGAGAATCAATGAAACAAGCTCATGCCAACGGAACATGTATTTATTTGTGCAAAACCAGGTTCTGTACGGTGGGGTGAGAAGCTTTTTTTTACCTCTGCTTAGCTTCCTGCTGGTTCTGCTGATTGCCGGATGAATCCTGGGGAACAAAGAAGGGATTCTTGGCTTAACACAGTTCACTCAAAGAAAAAATAGTGCCACCTGTGCAAGACCATACAGCACCTTACACAGCCAAGATCAGCCAACATGTACAAGCAGTGAAGTTGTGGTTAAGGCTGCAGGTTCAAATCCTTTGGTAGGGGGGGACACAGCAGTTGTCAAGCTAGCTGCTCCACTCAAGTGGCTCCAATACAATGCCCACAATGTGGGTAAGTGCCCACCAAAGAAAGGTACAATTAGCATTAAAAAAGTCATTTTAAATGAGCTGGAGTCCTTTACTCTAATACTGCCACACTTTCAGATGCACAAACCACCTGCTACACAGCAATATGAGCTCTTGCAATACAAGGCAATCTGGCAACAAGCTTACTGACAATCTATTTCAATACACCTGGTAATGAGTGGGTGATGCATCAAAACAATATTCAGCATCTTCGGAGCTCAGTTGTGGTTGGCCGCTGCATCACACTGAAGAGTAACAGATGAAACTCTGGGGATCAGAAAAGCTCCTATCATATAAACTCACTTAATTCTCATTAAAATACTGGCAGGCAGATCCTCACTGATAAAGACTGCTGCCCGAAGCCTAGCCTTCGGACATTCTTCCATAATCCTTCCCTTCTACACAGCATGGGAATCTACAATGGAGGACCGCTGGCAATTTTATTCCCAAGTGCCCTTCAAAAGGGGAAACCAGCAAGGTTCTGTGAAGTCCACAGAAGTCCAATAACTCGAGCCCTGGACGAGGTCAGACAGATACCCAGCTTCCACGCTCCTCCCCTGCAGACCCAACTCCACTCATGTGTTGAGGATCTCTGGTGATGAACAGCAGGGGGACACCACTGTCCAAAGCCCACTGAGGAAGCCTAGCTGTGCTCTGACCTGCTCTTACCATATCCCCTGGGCACAGGACCTGACAGGGGGCAGTTCGCTGACTGAACACACCAGGGAAGCCAGAATCACATCTCGTTTGCTTCTTGATATGTCAGCCATCTGTCCCAACGCGTATGCTCAGAACACGGCTCAGCGCACACTGCCTGTTCAAGCACAGTAGCTGAAATTCTACACTTCTGCTGTTACTAACCTTACTAGCCTATATGTGAAATACAGACTTCTTTGCACGGATAAAATGACAAATTTCACTTCACTGTCCCAGTGCTTTTTACCGTAGGCATCTAAAACTGGTCAGGGGCTCCGGCTCGTCCACAGACCTAAGCGCAGCGTGTGGCGATTCCGAGCACACACCCACTTGCTACTCAACTGACCAAACTTCTTTTCAAACATTTTTTTCTAAATGTATTCATTTCTTTTTCGAAAATGACACACAATAAAATAGATGGGGGGGGAAATAAAAGCGATGGTGCTTTCTAACCATGACGTTTCCAACATCTAAAAGCCTGATATAACTACGATATTCTTTGTTGCGGCTCTGTATCCCTTTTCTGCAGATAAACCTGTTTCTTCGGGGCAGTTACGGCATTGGGATTACAGTCTATTTGTTCAGCCCGTGGCATGATGCAGTGCAGCCGCATTAAAAAACGGAAAGTTTTTTTTTATTATTATTTTGCACGGAATACTCAACCCGGTGCTCATTCTGCTTAGGCCTGCGCGATAAGCATGCCTGTGATGGGTATGAATGAGCTGCCCCTCCCCGCATAAGGAGACGTTTACACGCCTCTCATTTTCGTCTTACCCCTTGTCTGGCTTGCAGTTCAGCCATCCTTTGCTGCCTGATAGCTTCCAATTCCTCGTCTGCCATAGTGCCTGTCCCACCACTCCCAACACCCCAAACTTGTTCGGCTAATGTGCGGTGCCGGAGAGCACTGCAAGGGAGGCCCACTCCAGGCGCACTACATCTAATTCAGAACTATCGATGGCGCACAGCCAGACCAAAGCAATCGCATATTACCAACATCGTTCTACTCTGATGTCGCTCGAGGGAGAGTAGACTGTCTTTCCACGCAGCAACAAATGCTGTATTTACAAAAATAAATTAAACGACTCCGCTAACATGCTCTAAAGACTAGGCCTTCTTTTTACAATCTTGTAACCTCTGTTTTTCATGCGAGATCTGTAAGGAGGACAAATTTTAATTGTTTCGAAGCAACAAGTCCAAGAGTTTTTTTTTTTGTATTGATTTATTACGAGTTACGTCGCTCACACAGTATAAGAAAACACATTTTCATCTTCTGAATAAACATGTCGTGGTAGTCGGAACCACGTAAGATAGTTCTTACAATCTGTAGCTTGTACACGGAATAATACCGTTTAAATGTTGCGTGGTAATGGTAACCACAAACCAAATAAAATATATTTGGAGAAACACAGCTGGGCTTTTTCATAGCCAGAACTGGGGAGAGCAAAAAGCTCATGGATATATTATAGAAACATGAAATACATGTTTTAAGAGATCACTTTATTGGCCATATACAATTTCTTGTATTAAGAATTTGTCTTTTCGCATACCCCCAACTTGCTCTCCATGAGACACACGTTAGTATATTTCCTAAAAACATATTTTAAGCTTAAGTGTCAAATAAACAGTAGTGTCAGAAAAACAGTGCTACTGCAACCTGATCTGTGGCCAAATGCAGCAAAATGCCAAAGAAGCAGAGCGAAAGTGTCTAAAGTAAAAAATATTCACCTCCTGGACCTTATCACATTTTATTCTGTTACACTATAGAATCATAACGTATTTAACTGGGATTGTTTGCCAATGATCGACACAAAACACTATCGATGGCAAACAATCCCAATTAAATAAATTGGGATTATACATTGTAACACAATAAAATGTGGAACAAGTCCAAGGGGGTGAATACTTTTGACAGACACTGTACATTTTCTCATTGTTTAATATGATTCACAGAAAGTATTCAGCCGGACTACAGTCATGTCAAGTGACAATAAAAGGAAAAACTTCTTGCTTCACAGATTTCCTGTTCTTTGCAGGGGTGGAGAGAGGGGTGGTCCTGTCAGCTCCCGCGGTAGGTGCTATATGAGAATGGGCTGAGGAGCAGGGGCACGTGGTACTTCTGAGACGGGTCTGTGATACTGAAGACAACCTGCAGTGAAAAAAAAACAGCGCAACCTGAGGAAATTTAAATCAGACTCTAGCTCCCGCTCAAAGAGTGCGGCCTGTAATAAGTAATAAGTGGGCGATTCATCTTTCCATTGCTAATTACCTGTTTTTTAAACAGTTTTGTGCTGCAACCTATATCATTCACCTTCACTTTCAATAACCGCTTATCCAGCTAAAAAAGCATTGGGTGCAAAGGCAGCGCACACCCTGGACAGGACACCAATCCACTGCCATTCAGACACACAGACACACACACCCTGGACAGGACACCAGTCCACTGCCGGGCAGACACACAGACACACACACCCTGGACAGGACACCAGTCCACTGCC